CTGGGATTGGCGGCTCCGGGAAGACCACTCTCGCTAGAGAGGTCTGCAAAGATGACCAAGTTAGACGTGAGTTCCTCTCGTGAAGTAAAGTTCCTTAATTTAAACTCGTCAAAGTTATTTATGATCAAAATCAAACTTTTTCCTTCGCAATTCGTGCAATAAAAAAGATAACATATATGACCAGGAAACTGTTTATCGCGGTTCAACTTGTACGATACTGTTCCATGCATAGGTTAGTCGGTGTGGAGTTTTTCTTCGCATGAATCAAATGTTGCATATTGTTTAGGCTTTAACCAGTTATTTCAAGTTTGAGTCATGTATTTATATCTGTTGCTTACTGTGATTCTATGTTGCGTTAAGTGGGATTGTTTTCTTTAATCGATAGCTTTGGTCTCTGGAAATAGTGTTAAGAAGATGAAATTTTAGTTCTGATGAAAAGTTAATGAAAAAGAAAACTTGCATACAAGTTCCGTGTATATGATTGGTTTGAGAATCGAAATGGGAGTTAGTGCGAGGAAATTGAGTTTGTGAAGTGATGGGTTTTTGCTTACTAATTTTGGTTATTCAGGAAAGCGTTTGACAATTTTTTTGCAGGTTATTTCAGGGAGAGGATTTTGTTCCTGACTGTGTCGCAGTCTCCAAACGTGGAGCAACTAAGAACGAAGATTTGGGGGTACATTATGGGAAATGAGAGATTGGATTCGAACTATGTGGTTCCACAGTGGGTGCCACAGTTTGAGTGCAAAAGTGAAGCAGCTCGAACTCTGATTGTTTTGGATGATTTGTGGACATTCTCTGTGATGGAGCAGCTTGTGTGCAGAATACCTGGTTGCAAGTATCTTGTGGTGTCCAGAACTAAATTCCAAATGGTGTTGAATTATGAAGTGGAATTGCTGAGTGAAGAAGATGCCTTGTCTTTGTTCTGTCACCATGCTTTTGGACAGAAATCAATCCCTTTAGGTGCTAATGAGAATTTGGCGAAGCAGGTAATGTGTGGTTTGTAACTGTAAACTCTGCCACTGCATGGCATGTTTGGATTCCCATTAGATACATAATCATGTTAAATACCATCTAAAAGATCTTTGGAGAATGTACACATGTTTATTTCTATGTTCAGAAATTATTTGAGTTCCAAAACTGGTTCTAACATGAAGCACTGAACAAGTAGAATGCTATGCATGGACTTTACTCATTTTTTTTATTCTTGTGTCTAATGGCAAATAGGTTGTCACTGAGTGTGGAAGGCTTCCTTTGGCTCTTAAGGTGATTGGAGCTTCTTTGCGAGATCAACCTGAGATGTTTTGGTTAAGTGTTAAAAACAGGTTATCTCAAGGTCAAAGCATTGGAGAATCCCACGAAATCAATCTGATTGAAAGAATGGAAATCAGTATCAATTACCTTCCAGAAAAAGTCAAGGAATGCTTTTTGGACCTATGTTCATTTCCTGAGGATAAAAAGATCCCTTTGGATGTACTCATCAACATGTGGGTGGAAATCCATGATATTCCTGAAACAGAAGCTTATGCCATTGTTGTTGAACTCTCCAACAAAAATCTTCTCACCTTAATGAAAGAACCTCGGTATGCAACATCAAAAATGCTCTTAAAACTTGGTTTTCTTGTTTTACCTGTTTCACTCTAACACCCTTTTGATGTTTTAATCTACCAGTGCCGGAGGCATGTATAGCAGTTGCTTTGAGATATCAGTTACTCAACATGATATACTGAGAAACCTAGCCATTAATCTGAGCAACCGTGCTAGCATTAATGAACGCCGGCGATTAGTAATGCCAAAAAGAGAAAATGCAATTCCTAAAGAGTGGTTGAGATACAAGCACAAGCCATTTGAGGCTCAGATTGTTTCAATTCATACAGGTATATCCCAATTACCCTCTGAAAAATGGCTTTCTTATCTTCTCTTTCCTTGCTTCTGTTGTTCTTTTTTGTGATGAATTTCACATTTTTTGCAGGTGAAATGAAAGATGTGTACTGGTGTAATATGGAATTTCCAAAGACAGAAGTTTTGATCATTAATTTCACATCCACTGAGTACTTCTTACCTCTCTTCATCAACACAATGCCAAATTTGAGAGCACTGATAATAATAAACTACAGTGCAACATATGCTTGCCTTCACAACATTTCAGTTTTCAAGAACTTACCCAACTTGAGGAGCCTCTGGCTTGAAAAAGTTTCCACCCCAGAATTATCAGGCACTGTGTTGGAAAACTTGGGAAAACTATTTATTGTCCTCTGCAAGATTAACAACAGATTGGTTGAAAAAGAGGTAGATATAGCCAAAGTCTTCCCAAATCTCTTTGACCTCACTCTTGATCATTGTGATGATCTAACCCAGTTGCCCTCAAGCATCTGTGGAATGAAATCACTTCAAAACTTGAGTCTCACCAACTGCCACAATCTGACTCAATTACCTCTTGAACTGGGGAAACTAAAATCTCTAGAGATTCTTCGTTTATATGCTTGTCCTGATCTGAAAACACTGCCTAATAGCATATGTGAGATGATGAGATTGAAGTATATTGATATTTCTCAATGTGTGAACCTGACATGCTTCCCTGAAGAAATTGGTAGACTGGTGAGCTTGGAGAAGATTGACATGAGGGAATGTTCCATGATCAGAAATGTACCAAAGTCTGCATTGTCATTGCAGTCTCTGCGACTTGTAATTTGTGACGAAGAGCTATCTGGGATTTGGAAAGAGGTTGAGAAGGCCAAGCCTAATGTACACATTCAAGTATCAGAGCAGCACTTTGACTTGGACTGGCTTAAAGAATGACTCATTTCTGTGTATGTTCTTGTCATCTTTTACTTTCCAATATGGTGTGAATACTTGTATATAACTTCTATTTTAAATGGAAATTATCTTTCAATTAAAAATCTAAGTTCCATATTAAATAAAAATAAGAAAATTGAAAAAACTTATAAACATTATCTTATACCAAGAAAAGTGACTTTAGTTATTATATATAAAAATTTAAATTATATTTTTAATTTCTAAACTTGAAATAAAAAAAATTTGTTTATATTTCAAATTTTATATATTTTGATTTCTAAATTTTAAAAATAATAGATATAATTACTTTTATATAACGACATTAATTTTATTAGACATGTTAAACAACAATTGAGATCACCTTTGAGCTGTAATATTTCAAATGGTATAAATTGCTCAAAAGTATGTTTGATATATAAAAAAATTTAGGGTTAAATATGTTTTTAGTCCCTAAACTATTGGCCGTTTCTGGTTTTCGTCCCTCTTCCAAAGTAAGGTACAATTTGGTCATCATTTTTTAGAAAAACGTTCGTTTTAGTCTTCAAAATTTTGTTTTTAGTCGTCGTTTTAGTCCTCAAAACGTTCGTTTTTTCGACTAAAACGAACGTTTTTTAAAGATTGAGGACTAAATTGTACCTTACTTTGGAAGAGGGACGAAAACCAGAAACGGTCAATAGTTTAGGGACTAAAAACATATTTAACCCAAAAATTTAATGTAATTGGACTAAAAATACTGTAAATTGATAATTTTCAATCTATCCAAATATGTTTTATTTTTATTTTTTAAATATAAAAATATCTTTTGGAAACCAAAACTAATCAAGCATAGTATTTCTTACAAATAGTTATATTTTAAATAATAAATAAAATATATTTTTAGTTTCTTTAATTTTGTATAAGTTTAGTTTTTGATATTAAACTTATTTTGAAACCGAACAATATTATTTATACTTAAATTAATAAGTGATTTTTAAATTTAATTTAATTTTATAAAATTGATTTATAATAAAATTAAGATATATTCAAATCCATTATTCTGATATCAAAATAAATTTTAAATCCAGCTCAATACCATAAAATCAATTTAGAAAATAAATTTGTAGTCATCAGTTGGTTTCCCGTACATACGTATAAAGAAACAGAAGAATTTTCTCTTGTCGAAAAAATATCTATGATGCCGGAAAAATGGTACGAATTTATATTATCATATAAAGTAATTGAAATTTATATTGATAAAAACAAAAAAGGGCATCTGAAGTGAGAACTTTCGTGGAAATGCACAAAGTGCGATTGTAATTTATCTATGTGACTTTAATCGCTCATCTTTTTCTACAGCACTTTTTTTTTTTTTATTTCTAAATTTAAAAACATTTGAAGTTTTAAAATTGAAGATAAAATTTTATATTATTAGAAACTAATGCATTTTATCCTAAATCTGTTTCCAGATTTGACTAAACATTTTGATACTGAAAGTCTCTATCAATGTCATTAATGATTGCTAATACCAACCAATGGGGTGCATCAAATAGGTCAAAATTACACATTTGAGTCCCAATCTCATTGTTGAAAATGAAATAAACATTATCATCTTTTGAATTTTAAGACTTACTTTAATTTAGTTTAATCAGAGCTAACATCCCTTTTCTAAAAATTTATTTCTCAAGATAAAAAAGAGACACAGATTACATAATATATCATATACTAAGGAAATCGACATCGACAAAGACTCATGAATATTCTAATGAGTAATATAGTCTGATTAAAAAGAGAGATTAAAAAAATAGAAGAAGCAAATGATATTACGTAATTACTTACATATCATTGTCTGTTATTTAAAGGCTAATGCATTTTTAAAGATTTTCTTTTATTCATTTTAATAACATTACTAAGATTCATTGACATCAATTTAGTGCTGCGGATTTTGGATGATCAGTAACTCCTACAAATAAAATAATTGGGATGTAAAATAATATATTTAATGTAAAAATTTCAATTTTATTAGTTTTTTAAAATTTGGTAATGATTGAAGTAATTATTATCTCTGTTTACTAAAGTAAAAATTAATAGTATAATTTTATTATTAATAATAATTATTTATTGAATCGACTATTTAATTTTAAAAGAATTATCACAATTTTTTAACTAATTTTGATGGTTACCAGTAAATAAATATGAAACCAAAATAAAAACATTAAAGATAGTTGAAAAAAATTATTAAACCTAAAAATACCAAGTGTTTCTAGAATACTTGAAGCTGTGAAGTATGACAAAGTACGAGAGTTAACTAACAGTTTGCGGTGTTAGTTAAACGTATGTTCCCAGATCCAACGGTTGGAAATGAATGTTGTTGCGCCATACAAAAGTTGATCACGTCACGTGTGCCCGAACGCTATTGGTGTACTGAGAATTGAGAAACGATGATTGGCAACTCAAGGACAATATCGTCATTTCGCAAGAGCCACCATTGGCTGACTCCTTTAATACCAAGGAAGAAGAAGAAGGAAGAAAAAGGAAGAGAAGAAGAGCACCACCACCACCATGGCCCTTACGGACCTATTCACCGGAGAGATAGCCTCCGATCTCTGGAAAATGCTCATCACAATTTCCCGAAAGGCCCTGCGCTGCAAGTCCAGCGCGGAGCAACTCATCACCTACGTGCGCGAGATTCTTCCCACCATCGAGGAAATCAAGTACTCCGGGGTGGAGCTTCCGGCGCCGAGGCAGTCTCAGCTGGACCGCCTGTCGGAGATTCTGCGTTCCGGCGTGGAGCTTTCGCACCAGGCGCTGTCCTCCAGCCGCTGGAACGTGTACCGGAACTTCCAGCTGGCGAAGAAGATGGAGAAGCTGGAGAAGCACGTGACGAGGTTCCTGCAGGTGCCCATGCAGGCGCACATACTGGCCGACGTGCATCACGTGCGGTTCGAGATGGCGGAGCGGTTCGACCGGGTGGAGGCGTCGAACCGGCGGATGGAGCGGTTTCTGGAGGAGATGAAGATCGGAGTGAACGGCGGTGGGTGGGTGGAGGAGGCTGTGAAGAGCATGCAGGAAGATGAGACGTGGGTGGAAGGTTGTAACGGGAATAACGGTTTCGGTGTTGGGTTGGATTTCGGGAAGAAGAAGGTTATGGAGATGGTTTTCTCTAATAACGATGCTGATTGGATTGTCGGGATTTGTGGGATTGGTGGCTCCGGGAAAACCACCCTTGCCAGAGAGCTCTGCAGAGACGACCAAGTCCGATGTAAGTCCATCATTCCACCTTCACCCATCATAAAAAAAAAGATTAATAATAATTTCTTTCCTTCTTGGTAATGTGAATGCAGCTGACGAAACACTAAATCAGTTGTTTCAGTTAAAAAGTGATTTGCTTGAATCAACTGACACAGACTTTTTTTCAGTTTAACAATCAGTTCTCGCGAATCAATTGATACAAAATTGTTTGAGTTTAATGGGTGGTCTTGAATTTAAAGTTTTCAGTATGGGGGAGCCTTTAGTCTTGTTCAAAAGAATTGGGTTGTGAACAGAACTTTTGAAAACCTCGGGGGAGATTATGTTTACTAGATAGGATGAGGGATGATGTTAGTTTCATGTTTTATGCTAACTGTGCTTGTTGCAGTTGTGGTTTTTTGACTGATGGTAATTTACAATCTTATTCTTGTACGTGTGTGCGACAAGATTGCAGTTTTATAACTTGAAATGGATGAATGCATTTGTTGTTTGTTTAAAAGTGTTTCGAGAGTGTGACAGTTGCTTTTTGCAGGTTATTTCAAGGACAGGATTTTGTTTTTGACCGTGTCACAGTCTCCGAATGTGGAGCAGCTGAGAGCGAGGATCTGGGGACACATCATGGGCAACCAAGGCTTGAATGGAAATTACGAGGTTCCGCAATGGATGCCACAGTTTGAGTGCAAAGGGGAAGCTCAAGCTCTTGTTGTTCTTGATGATGTGTGGTCTTTCTCCGTGCTGGAGCAGCTTGTGTGGAAAATCCCTGGCTGCAAATTCCTTGTGGTGTCTCGATTCAGGTTCCCAACGTTCTTTAGTGCCACTTATCACGTGGAATTGCTGGGTGAAGAGGATGCCCTCTCTTTGTTTTGCCACCATGCTTTTGGACAGAAGGCAATTCCTATGGGTGCTAATGTGAGTTTGGTGAAGCAGGTAATGATTGGAACTGAAGTTGTGTTCTTTGTCCCTGACTATTGATTAATAGCTCAAACCAAAATCCTGTGATTTATGACGTGCCTTTACCTTCTCTCTTGTTCTGTCTTTGTATCCATCCAATGGAGAACAGGTTGTGGCTGAGTGTGGAAAACTTCCACTGGCTCTGAAGGTGATTGGAGCTTCTTTGCGAGACCAGAATGAAATGTTTTGGCTGAGTGTTAAGAGTAATCTGTCTCAAGGTCACAGCATTGGTGAGTCCTATGAGATCAATCTGATTGATAGAATGGCAATTAGTACAAACTACCTGCCAGAAAAGATCAAGGAGTGCTTCTTGGACCTGTGCTCTTTCCCTGAGGATAGAAAGATCCCTCTCGAAATTCTAATCAATATGTGGGTTGAAATCCATGACATTCGTGAGGCGGAAGCATATGCCATTGCGGTTGAGCTTTCGAATAAGAACCTTCTAACCTTAGTGAAAGAAGCACGGTACGCAAATTGCAGACTTAGAAATGCATTTCAACTTGTCTAATGTGTTCATTTTTTTCATTTATCTCTTATCAGAATCATTATTCTAACACCCTTTTGATCATTTTAATCATTCAGTGCCGGGGGCATGTACAGTAGCTGCTTTGAGATTTCTGTGACTCAGCATGACACACTGAGAGACCTTGCTCTTATATTGAGCAAGCGCGGGAGCATTCATGAACACAGAAGGTTGGTCATGGCACAACGAGAAGAAAATGGACTACTCCCAAGAGAATGGTCAAGATACCAGGACCGACCCTTTGAAGCTCAGATTGTTTCAATCAACACAGGTATGTACAAATATCAATAACTCTTAATTACTATAAATTTTCTGTCTGGTTGTGTGATTTATCTGTGATGAACTTCACATTGCAGGGGAAATGACAGAAATGGATTGGTTTGAGCTGGATTTTCCCAAGGCTGAAGTGTTGATCATCAATTTCACGTCCAGTGATTACTTTTTACCTCCCTTCATCAGTAAGATGCCAAATTTGAGGGCACTGATAATAGTAAACTACAGTACCTCATATGCTCGCCTTCACAATGTTTCAGTTCTTAGGAATTTGACCAACTTGAGGAGTCTCTGGCTAGAAAAGGTTTCCACCCCTCAGTTGTCAGGCACTGTCTTGAAAAACTTGAGCAAACTATTCGTAGTCTTCTGCCAGATTAACAACAGTTTGGATGGAAAACAGTTCCCTAACCTCTCTGAGCTGACACTTGATCACTGTAATGATCTAACATACTTGCCCTCAAGCATTTGTGGAATAAAGTCACTCAGAAACATGAGCCTCACAGACTGCCACAATTTGTCTGAACTACCTGTTGAATTTGGCAATCTAAAATCTCTAGAGATCCTCCGTTTATATGCTTGTCCTGATCTAGAAACACTTCCTCCTAGCATGTGTGAAATGAAGAAATTGAAGTACATTGACATTTCTCAGTGTACTAACCTCACCTGCTTCCCTAAAGAGATTGGTAGATTAGTAAGTTTAGAGAAGATTGACATGAGGGAATGCCCCATGATTAGGTATTTACCAAAGTCTGCAGTGTCATTACACTCTCTGCAGCTTGTAATTTGTGACGAGGAGGTGTATGGTACATGGAGAAATGTTGCTGAGATTGCCAAGTCAAAGGTTCACATTCAAGTACCAGAACAACACTTTGATCTGGACTGGCTTCAAGAATGAAGCATCACTCCCCCCAATTCATTGTATATACTTGTTCATAGTAAAAGGAAATTTTCTCTTTTTCCACAAGTTATGGCATGCACAATCTTTTTACTTGTCTGAAGTACACCATAACATGATAACCACTGTTATTTCAGATTCCTTAGATTCCTGTACTTAGTTAGATAACATAACAGACAGAAAGTTTCAATTTTTAAAAGAATCTTTTCAAAAAACCACATTCCCAATGTTGATTGTTTGAGATGAGTTAAACAAGAAAACAAAAATAAAAAAATATACACACATATACTATGGGCGGCTAGAAAAAAAAGAAAATGGACAAGTTAGATTTCCAAAAGGAAGTGCTTTTCCCATATTGAAATGGAAAGTTGATCCCTAATGTTGGAATTTTGAGGCCACCATCATTGTCTGTGTACATATACATTGTACATGTGCGACCAGTTCCCATCACATGGCTCCACCCAAAGGCCATGTTCTGCATTCAGCTGAGAAAACGCGTAAAGAGAAACATAAAGACAAAAACTGAAAGCAACCTTTGGATTTTGATTCACCACACTCCCAAATTTGCTGTCATGTGTCTACCTTGAAGCTTCCTTCTTATCTTTCTTCTCTTTCACTGTTGCCGTTTTGGTCAATGTCTTTCTTTCATTATTTATCCTCACACATTGTTCAATCCGTATATAGTGCAAGTCAAGCCTCCCAAGTCAACATCATCATCATCATCATCAAAACTTATAAAATTATTTTTGGCATCACCTTTTGACTTTCAAAAATAGCCGTGTATGAGTCTCAAGCAATTTTTACCATAGAATATGAAGCATAAGAGACAATGTATAGTTAACATTTTTAGAAATAATACTCACATACATAAATTTTTTATATTTATTTTTTTATATTCATCTGATATCATCTTCTTTTACTTTTTTTTCTCTAAAAATTTATTTTTTATGATTATTTTATTTTTGTAATAAGTGTATGAATATAAATATGTCACCTTTTTTTTCTCTACCATTGTTTTTTTATATAAATTTTAATTTATTAACTTTGTCTATAGAATGATAACAATTGCTTGTACTTCAAAATAAGATAAGTTATATATATATATATATATATATATATATATATAAAATATTCGTGAAATACTTACTGGGTATTTAAAAATAAGTGGCCAAAGTTTATTTGAGAAGTTACAGTGAGAAATATCTTTATAAGATTTTCCAAATAATTTTATTTTCTTAGGGTAGCATTACGTCATGCTTTTGCCTAATACATGATGCAACTATGAGAAATATATCTGTTGATAAACAGCGACAAAATTGACATGAAAAATGCAATCACACCACTCAATTTGTTGATTTTTCTTTCATCCTATTGTAGGGTGATAAACTAATTATCGAGGACTGAATTTAAATTAATAGCAATTATCTTAGTTAGGTCATTTTCTTGGAGTAAGACTTAGTCAATTTGGACCATCAATCGGATTTAAAACTTAAACATTTAAATAAAACATATAGAACATGTGTTTTAATAATTCTATCTTTATATTTTTAATTTAAAATTATAATATATATTATCACATTAATTAAAATGAATTGGGTGTTTCTTATGGGTTTCAAAATATAAGCGTTTCTTACGAGCAAGCAGAGAAAAAATGTTTTGCTATAATCTAATTGTTAGTGGAGATATTTTATCCTCTAAACATAATAGTATGAAGAGAAACATATTTTATAATGAATATAAAGTCCAAAATTGTTTTCAAGTTTTGAATAAAATAAGGAAAATAGACACCAAACCATCAGTGTAAGATAAAAATAAAAAGTGTTTTCTGATGAGGAAATTGAAAATCGAAGGCTTAAAATTCTAGGAAAGTCAATTTTCTTCAAAATTTTATTCCCTATGTGTGTCAAACGAAGAGATGAGACAATGCATGAGCTCACAATTCAATGGTCATGTATATAAACAGATAAAAGACTTGGACTTAAGAAAAACTACAATAATAATACTGTGAGTGACACAATTGAATACTCTATTCCAAATATTTGATTGGAGCCTCGGCATCATCCAACTTGGTGATGAACAAAATCTACCATCTCAAACTGAACTTTTGCACTAAAGAAACTACTGTATAAAGAATTGGAATAATTTGCACTCTCCTGCAGTAAAAAAATTGCTCATATTACATTTTTCTCACCTGCTACTGAAATACACATTCTTTTCACTTCAAAGATGAATATCTTAGAATTAAATCTATTGTAGTGTAAGTCAAACTATTAGAGATTTTTCCTCACAACAGTTCTCAACAGTGATTGCAGTAAGTTTTCTGTATCAGCTATCAACTTTGAAAACTCAGAACAAAACACCTATATGAAACCTTAAAAGCAACAATAGAAGTATTTAGCACTTCATCATACCTCATGAAATACTGAAACCAATAAGAAAATGTTTCAAAAATAGCTATTGATTATTCTAGGACTTTAGGAAAGAGCATAGTATCATAGGGGAAACACATCAACAATTATTCAGTACTGTTAAGTTCATTTGCATTATAAAGGACTATACTGCATCTCATTTATCTCCTAAAAAAATCAAGAGTAATTTGAATAAGAGGAGAAAAGTAATTTCAGCGTCTTTCTGGAGTAGTTTATCCAAAGAATTACTATTCCAATCCATTTATACAAGGTAAAATTTGGCTTCTGACCACTTGAGGAAAAATTAGTTTAACCATATTTTACAAGGTTGTTGTACATGAAATTTTGAGAATTAAGCTCACAGAAGGGGTTAAGTAGAAGCATATATGAGTACTTTAGAGAAATCTGGTGGGCATATACTCATTTATCCTGAGAGGTAGACGGTAGAACTCATCATTTCTAACATCTCCCTTCCTATTCTGAAAAGGACCCCACCATGGAAGTCCTCTGTCCACAGCTTTAGATTTGCCTTCAAGTGTGTTGTCAATAAGGGTCCCAATAATTATAGCCACAGTTGGGGAAGAAGAGAATATGGTGTTCAAAATGTCATTAAACTGTTGTAACATAATACAAGGTATGATCAATAATCAGATGAATGCATTTCCAAAAGGTAGGACATCAAGCAAATAAACAGTTTAACAACAATCTTACTTTAGAAGGAAAACCACTTAAATATAAAACAAGTCTGATGGAAATTCCATGTCCTTGAGTACATATCAGTTGGACATTTTAGTCCTTGAGATTTTAAAAAACACTTAAAGTTGAAAAAGGTTAATGTTAATCTCCTTTTTCACTTTTTTTTTCAGTCCTTTTTGCATGGAAAAACGACTGAGTGAATGATATTGAGTAGCCATATTCGTGTTAAACATTGGAGACAGGAAAATTGCACCTAGATACTGCATAATTCATAGACTTTACTGATCTAACAAAATAGTGTTGTCGGAAGAAATTATTTCCTAAAACATAGCATCTAATTGTTCCACTTCCTTAATCTAAACATGTTACACATACTTATAACCTTAACTATGGATTAAGGAAAGCTGATATGCATAATGATCACATTGAATGTAGAAATGAGATATTTTAAGAGTCACTTACCCATCCACCATCTGTTTTAACTGGACCATGACCATCTGGTGCAGTGTTAGTGACAAAATATTGTTGAACTGATATTGCTAGAAACAAGGTTATGCCCAGAACATAGATATTTCTTATGGAGTTGGTATTTGCAAACTGTATAAAAGAAATTCCAACAGAAGCTGCAAAAAGAAGAAAAAAACAACAATAAAATGAAAGGCCTGCATCTACTAGTAAAAATTATTGTAATTTATGTAAGGGTAGCAGCAGCACCTACCCACAATACCAAACAAAACACAGTATATAGCAGCAAATATCGGTAGGGGAATCGAAGCAAAAAAAGCTCCAAATTTCCCTGAAAAGGAAAGTAAAAGGATTAGACCAGAAATGTAAAACTGAAAGAAAAGTCTAGTAGCCACATGAGTTTCAGGTGGAATATAGTACCAAAAATAGAAAAGAATATCATGAAACCACATGATATCTGCACAACTCTGCGACTCCCTATATGTGTTAGACCAAGTAGGCCCACATTTTCACTGCAATTGCCAAAGGGATTTGTTAGACTATTACTCATACAATTCTTGATCTTAAATTTCTACTAATATTCATCTATTGTACTTTGTTTTTCTTATTTTTTATAATATTAGAGGTATTCTGCAAATGATTGGTGTTGACTGGGGTGTAACCTAGTTAGGGTTGCAGTCAACACACTGATGCTTTTGCATACATATTTTGATTGAAAAAATAACCTTGAAGTAATTTAACTACCAACAGGTTAAGCAGCTTAGTTTTCTAGTGAAATCATTGATGAAGGATTTAAAATTGGTTCAACCGATACCTCAAGTTCTAAATAATTAAAATTTTATAAAGCTGAGCTGCAATCCATCTAATTTTCATGAATGGATATAATATAATAGCTATTACCCATAGAACCAATAAGGGAAAAATGAAATAAAAAAAGACTTCACAAGAAAGGAACCAAAACTTTAAGATAAACATTGTCATTGTGGGCATGTGGAGTTCTTAAGAAACTGCTTTCTTACACAGATACAGTAGTACCAACAACGGAACCAAATATGCCTTCAATCAGCATGCCAATGCCCTGCCATTTGGAAGAGTGAGAAACAATATAAAAGATTTTGCATGCTTATCAAGATTTTGCAGCAATATAAAAGCACAACTAAATTAATTGTTCAGAAGTAAGAATCACCTGAAACCCAATGCTTCGGCTAAGCACATGTGCAGGAGGTGGTGTTGCACCAGAAAGCCTGGCTGCAGCAAAGAAAGCACCAGTTGACTGCATTCAAAATTTCATCAAGGAAAAAACTCCACATTAGATTATCAATTTGAAAAAGACAATGGGTAGAAAATAATGGCATATATACAAAAAACAAAAATAATAATAATTTTCCAGAGCGCAAAGCTGTCAAATGCTTAAAAAATGAGAGTTAACATGCAAATTATTAGAGCTACGTGTAGAATTCAAAATATTAAGGAATAGTTGATAGACCTCAGCAGAAGAGACAAGTGCAGCCCCCATCATCCCAAAGACATGACTGGCTCTGAATATGGGGGTACCCCATTGGAATGGATATGGAACTTTAATCCTGGAATAAGAAAGCAATTTAACTGTTATTATAAAGTTCCAGAAACAGCAATCAAACTCATATAAACTGTTGAACTGATTATTTTGTGAACATACCATGGAGCAGAAGACATAAGGTATGAGCGATCTGTGCGACAACTCACTTGGGTCTGTGTTTTAGCAGTATTATACGCACCTGCGACAGTAAGGATAGCAGCAAATGCCCAGATGACAGCAATGCAGAGAAGTAAAGCAAACCTCTCAAGTACATGATGTGCAGCATGATGAAGACGCTTCAAATACTGCCAGAGAAAAAAAAAAGTGAATATTATTTTCGGAGAAAAAACTCAATTAAGAAATTGTTTCAGATAAGATATAAACCTGTTGTGTTATTACAAGTAGAATGAGCATAGGTAAGCCAATCTGCACACAATTTGCAAGCTGCACAAAAGAGGAAAGATGAGTTCACAAATTCTTCGTATTTATGTCATCTACAATAATAAATAACCCATTTATTCAGGGAAGAGAAATTAGGAATATTTACCAATGGAAAGCCCCTGGAGAACAGACCAAGACCCACCACACATACCACAGGTACAATGCTTATGGGACTAAACAACCTGTTCAGAAAAGAAGACTCACCAACAGATTAATTATTTACAATTAAATCTAACTAAAGATGTTACTTTAAACATTGACCATGAACT